ATATGACAACAATCTACGGATCAAATTAGTTAGAAGACTGATGTTAAAAATTAAGACTTTTAAGAAGACTCATGCATCCATGTTACCCTTCAACATTATATCATTGGTATAACCATGAACGATATCATGTCTGTCACATGAGACAATACAAAACCAGTACAATTGAGCACCAAAACACGGTTAAAATAAACATTGACCCCCAGGGTAAAATTTGGTTTACTCTAACATTTTTTTGTTTAATTATTGTTATTGAGTTTGGTAGTTTTACAATAACTTTTTAAAATCTAAACTAAATTTTAAACATTGGTTCATTTTAAAAATATTGATAGGGTATTACAATTTTAATAACTTTTTTTTTAAATCTTCTTTTTAAATTTTAATAACTTTTTTTTTAAATGAAAAAAAGAGCTCTTGACATATTTTACAAAATAACATAACAAAGTTTACAATACAACATTAATGTAATAAATGTACCAAAAAACTGAAATGCTAATTGTAATTCATAATAATAATACTTTTAAAATAATAGAAATTATTTGGTTCTTATTGAAAATTTAACAATAATAACAACAGCTACATAAAAAAATTTTAATGAGAAAATGGCTAATTTAAATTATTCATACCAAACTCACTTATTACACTTACACTTTTTACACACAAATTACACTTTTCTAAAGCTGTTTTGCATAACCATTGTGTTCCAAATAGCGCTTGTATCATTTCCAAACTTGATAGTGGTAGTGATGAGCACAATTGTTACCATGAATACCTGTTCCATGGTAACCTTTAAGCATAATATAGTTTGATTTAAGCCATGTATTAAAATCATACCACAAAGTATTTAATACTTTTACAAACATAAAAGTCAAAATAAAAAGTTACAACATTTTAGATCAATTGCTTTCAAATATATTACATCATTCAGCACTAATGGTTTCTATAGTTTTCTAAAATGTTCTGAAACATCTTTAACTTAAAACTTAAGTTAAAACCTTTTGATCTTTTTACACCGGAATCATCTAGACTTTCTGAGATCAACGTCAATTGAAATCCTAACAGCAGTGAAATAAGTATTATTCCAAGTATTATTCTAAGGATTTAAACCTCTTTCTTTAATCATGTGAAGAATAAATCAGAAGTATCTTTTACAAATACCAAATTGCAACTTATCTCCTCATTCCCTGAAGTTAATGAATCAGTTTTTACATCATAAAAATTTGAGTTGATATATTAGGTTCTAGCATTACGTTCACTAAGTTTTGTTATATAGTTTTGGAAACTAGTTTTGTTTTTCTTTTACTCAGGTTTAAAGTATTTTAAGATTTCCATTACAGCTTTAAAAGACAATTAAATTTAAGGCATGCTCTGTGACATTTATTATCAGATGTGCCAACAACAATAAGGTTGTTTCCAAAAGTACCTGCAGCAGTCTTTTGGAAGTTTGATCAAGCAGGATTGAAATTTCTTTTCTCGAGAACTTTGGAATAAGTTGAATATGAGACATAATCATTTAATTACATTCAAAAATTCTTCATCATCTTCTAAAGTATTCTTTCAAACTCTATTCTTTATAACCAACATTAAGTATGGTATAGAGACAAACTTTTGTTTAAATTCAAATTATTTTAAAAAATTTATTAAATTTTTAATTAAAAATTCAACATTCTTTATTGTCTCCTTAATAAAAAATAACAAGAACTCAATTTAAAATAAAATTCAATTTTTTAAATTATTTAATTTAAATTTTCTACAGTGAAGCTTAAATTTTCAATTTAAACTTGTTTTTTTACATAAGTTTTATAATTTTTCTTACTTATTCTTTTTCTTACTTATTTTTAGATAATCATTAAGCCAAAAACTATTAAACAATTGATTAAAACTTCAACCTTAAAACAAAATAGATATTAGATAAGTTAACTATTTCATAAGTGAAATTAGTATAATAAACAAATTAGTACCCTCCAGCACTGAAAAACCTTTCTCCGCAAAGACAAATACTATGTACAGGCCCCTCATGAGCGCTGATAACACCTTCTAATGAACCAGAAAGTAAATCCCAAAATGCAATTGTACCATTCAATGCACCTGCAATAACCAAATTCCCACAAAACTAAAAGAAAAAAAAATTCATGGTATTTAATATATGAATGGTGAAATAATAAAAATGTAAAGAATAAAAACTTTTGATGTTAATATAACTATGATTTTTTTCAAAAAACATTTGAAAGTTCATTTTTCAAATGTTTTTTGAATTTGAAAAATTCAATTTTGAAATGAATATTGCATATATATATAATATATATATATATATATATATATATATATATATATATATATATATATATATATATATATATATATATATATATATATATATATATATGTATATATATATATATATATATATATATATATATATATATATATATATATGTATATATATATATATATATATATATATATATATATATATATTATATATATATATATATATATATATATATATATATATATATATATATATAAATATATATACATATTAGAAAATTCATGGGCACCCATGGCACCCATTTTTAGCAACCATTTACACTTGTAAATGATAATTATTTTGAGAAGTGAAGTAAAGCTGGTAAAGGCAAATAAATTTTATATATATATATATATATATATATATATATATATATATATATATATATATATTATATTATGCATACCTAATGAGTGTTTATAAGTGAAAAAGAATCAAAATTAAAAGATTAATATAGTTTATAAAAAAAATCATGAAAGAATTTCTTTATAAACTATATTACTCTCAAGTCCCTAATAAAAGGAGTGGGGGGGAGACATTACATAATTTTTGGAAAAATTTCCCACCCACCTCAAGCGTATTAAGACCAACCTCCCCGTTTAATTATTTTTAATTGTCATCAGCAAAAACTTCAAAAAATCTCAAAACTAAAAAAAAAGAAAAAGTGTATAGTAATAGTAAAATAATTAAATATTTAATAATTAAATATAGCAATAATAGTAAAAATAGTAAATAATTCTTTCAGTTATTGATTAAAAAAAAAAAATTGCTCACGTGGTAAATTTTGATTCAGCATATTAAATACTATTGAAATTATGCTAAAAATGCATTTGACCGCAAGCAACGCAAGAATTATATAGTAAATTTTAAGTGTAAATTTTAAGTGTAAATTTCAAGTGTAAATTTTAAGTGTAAATTTTAAGTGTAAATTTTAAGTGTATTTTTGACTCGAGAGTAAGAGCATTAGCTGATTAACATTTTACTTTAAAAGCAACACATGTTACGAACATTCATGTTACGCATGTTAACACATGTTACGCACATTCATGTTACGCATGTTAACACATGTTGCGCACATTCATGTTATGCATGTTAACACATGTTACGCACATTCATGTTACGCATGTTAACACATGTTACGCACATTCATGTTACGCATGTTAACACATGTTGCGCATGTTATTAACTCAATTACCTAACTATTTATTAACCGTCGTGTCTTTTATTATTATTTATTATTATTAATATATTAGCATCAATTAGTTAATTAATAAAAAAATATCCTAAAAAAACCCAAAAGTTTTCAATAGGAATTAAACACAGAGTGCAGGCACTACAATCAAATTTATTAACCACTACACCACACAATATTGTAACTCAATAAGTTAATAAAGTTTAAATGAAATGAATTTGTTTTGACGCATTATATTTTTTAAGTAATTAACGCACTTTATAATAAAATAACCTCCGCATGATTAACATTACATCAGAATTACACTTTCAGGGAATCAGTGACCTGGGTAAATATATATTAGATGTATATATATATATATATATATATATATATATATATATATATATATATATATATATATATATATATATATATATATATATATATATATATATATACATATATATATATATATATGTATATATATATATATATATATATATATATATATATATATATATATATATATATATATATATACATGTATTATATCTCAAATCTCAAATCACTTTTCCAATTAGCTTCGAAATTTCCTAGGGGTATAAACAGGGGTAAAAAGATGAGACTTTGCTAAATGACGAGTCAAGCGCCAATGAGTTTTGGTTAATGGAACTAGAGATAAAAGCTCCTTTAAGCAGGGACCATGATAGTAATTGTAGAAATGAGAAAGAGATGCAACCTTACAACGATGAAAAAGAGAAAATTGCAAGCACAATAAAGAAAAGAAACCTCAGCAGATACTAACTTAGCAATCATATACTGATATGCAAATATTAGCTGGTATGCAAATATTGCTATATTAGGTATATTAGTATATACTATATTACAAAGTATAAAAGCTACTATATAAAAATGCAATTTTTAAAAAGTAGTTAAAATAAAAATTGCATGGGTTTATAAATTTGTGAAAATGGTGCACATGACCGTTCCCAGGACAAATTTACTTGAAGCAGCTCTAATGGCACATTTGCTGTCAAAACAGCTTTTCTTATAGGTTGTTAGTTTCTTAGAACAAAAACTAAACTTTCAATTATAAAACAAAAATTTGTAGGAATTAATCTTTTAAAAACTCAATTAAACAAATTTTTTTAAACTCCAGTGTGAAGCAAAAGGAATATACAACTACTATTTTGATGTTTTGTACATTGCTTTATGGAGAGCAATTATATTTAGAAAACATTCTTTAATAAGTTAATAAAAAATGTACAACGATTTCTATGGTCATTACTTGCAGAGAAATTAAACAAGAAAGCATTTTTTTTTAAAATTGACTTTTAATTTTGCTGACTCATTTAAATTTCTATAATTCCATATAAACAATGGTGGCAGTTATTAAGTCATTCATTAAAGTAAATGATTTTGTTTATGCAAAACTTTCAAAACCATTTTATGTATGCAAAACATTGGCACAACAACATATTTGGAATCACCTAGAATGGAAAAACAAGGCACTTCATACGCAAAGATACAACATACCTGGTTTTACATTTTATGTTTTTTTTATTTGTTCTTCAAAAAGAACAAACAAAAAAACATATATTGTAGAAACCAGATGTTTTGGTTGACAAATTTTATAGCAAATTGAAACAAAGCATCATCTTTACCTATTTCAGTTAAATATTAAAAAAATTTGAGCAAAGTAGTAGTGGAATTTATCGTTGCAGATTCTTTTGGACCTCAGCTAGTAAGGGTTTTATATAAATGGGTTCAACTCGTATGATTAAAAATCAAAAACCTTCCCACCCATTTACGCTTTCACATAAGATAAATGACTAAACAATTGTACTTGCAACAAAAAAAACAGTAGTACTTGCGGAAATGCCCGGATGTAAATGTTTCATTAGCTTTGATCATTGGAAAGCTGCAAATAGTAGCAACTATTTAGCTTTAACAGCTCATTATATAACTCTAACAGAATGGAAGCTAAAAACATGTTGTTTATCTGTGGTTGATCTTAAAGATATTGATGTGGATCATACCTCTTAAAAAACTAAACAGATTATTATTAATAAATTGGAAATTTTATTGAAATAGACAATGTCCTGTGTGCAAAAACAGACACAACAAATACAATACCTGCCACTGATTTTCTTTTAGGAAGGAAATAACAGCCATGTGCTGCACATGTTCTTCCCCTATGCATTGAGAGCGCATTGAATGCTGAGCAGCAAATTAAAAACCTCATTAGCTTGGTACACAAAATTGCAACTTTTTTCAATAGTTCTTCTGTGGGCCTGAAATGTTTAAAAAAACAACTTGAGCAAGGACTTTGAGAGTTGTGTTCACCACTTGATGTTGTTACCAGGTTAACAGTATATTTAAACTTCTAATTTTTGTGAAAATTGTATGACAATTTCAACTGCTCTTATTTTTTTGTTTGTTTTGTTTTTACTTAAAGTTATTTTAGTAACATGCAAAGTAAATAAAGATTGTCTTAAAGTTATTTTAGTAACATACAAAGTAAATCTTTATTTCTTATTATATTTTATTAACATACAATCTTTATTGTCTTAAAGTTATTTTAGTAACATGCAAAATAAATAAAGATTGTCTTAAAATTAGTGTTTGAATTAAAACATTAGCGCAACATAAATTATTATGTGATGACATGTTAAAAAAATTATTATGTGATGACATATTAAAAAAATGTTTCCCCACAAACAAAATTTTTGAGCAATATTGATTGCGATCTTGAAACGCAAGGATTGAGGATTTAAAGTCATAATCTGCATTTTGACATTTTAACGGACTGTTCTCTATCCAAAATTGTATATCCTCAGCTGAAAGAGTTTCCCAAAGTCCTGGATTACTTTTCCTATTCAATGGCAAATCGATAGATAAACATACCCTCTCCTTATTGAGTTCCGATATATACTTTTACACTTTATCGGCTTGAGTTTATTTATCCAAAAGGTATCAATTTAAGTAACTTGTTGTATTTTTTAATAAATTTTTATCTAACAACATTTATCACATTGGTAGTTTAATATTGGTAGTTACACATTGGTAGTGTTAAGTATTTTGTGGTTTTCTATAAGAATAATTTTTATTATTTTAATTATCATTTACATTTTAGTTTATTGTTTTTTGTTATTTTTGTTTATAAACTTTATATTTTATTTCATATATTTATCTTATTAACTTATATATATTTTGTTTTATTTTAAATTTGTTATATTATTTGCTATTGAATTCACTACTCTCACTATCCATATTATTTCTTCAAAAATATTAGTACTTTACAAATTTGAGTGAGGTTAGGGTTTTGGCTGTTTTGTAGTGAAGTTCTTTTTTACTCCAGTATGGAGTAGGCATAAATCACGGGCTAAAGCATAAATAGCGATGATGTTTATCTGATGGGATAAACTAGGTTTATCCCATCAGATAAACATCATTACCACCACTACATAAATTATGATTACACAAAAACAATAATGTTTTTTCTTTATCTTATACATCCTATGAACTTATATTTATTCATTTTAAATACTGATATATCTATATATATGTATTTTTATTTTAAATATGTTAAACATTTGTATTTACTGTAGATTTATGGTTGCTTATGTGTCCTGTTTTGTTTTTATTACATTTCTTTTACATGCGCGGTGTCTATATTACTATTACTATTTTTTACTACACGCTTTACTATAGTATCTTTGTTTTTGTTCTGAGCATCTGTTCAATATTTATTTTTAATTATTTTATCCTTTCTCCTGTCCTAAATTTATCCTTATTTCACTTGGGCTTGACAGCTCGGTCTAGTCCTTTGATGCATATTTTTGCATTTTTTTAAATGAACACTTAAAATTAACTTAATTGCTATTGTTTACTGATTTTACTAATAGCTAACTCTACACTACTTTTTATTATTAAAATTATGTAAAATAGCCTACATAGTTAAGCAAACGTTTGTTAAAAAAAAACAGAAAAATGAAAGTTAAAAAATGATTACTTTTTTTGCAGCGCGCTTATTTACTATACTTAAATGCGTGCAAAATTTTTATTACTGATTACTTAAAATAAAAAACAATTACTTCCTTTCATTACTTAGATACTTAAAACAATTACTTTCAATTACTTAAATACTTTAAAGCAGAATTTTTCTTAAAATAAACTTAGTTTATTTTAAATTGAATATTTTAAAACATTATGAACGAATGATAAAAAACAAAGTTATTAACTAATGTGTTTTTTTTTTACAATCAATCTGGAAAATTAGTCGGGCTGTTTTGCAAATAAATAATATTTTCTACTGTTGTAAACATTAATTAGAAAAACAGCCTAATTATATATTTATTTTGTTGGTTTGATACGTTGAACCAAGTCATTCTATAACATAATATTTTAGAAGGTTATTGATTAAACTTTAAATAAAAAAACGTAATTTTATAAAAATGTTAAAATCGTTGAGTTGATTGTTCATTAAAGCTATTATTCATACTAAAGAGCAAAATGTTTCAAAATACATTTTGTTTAACTTTCATCTTTAAATATTTAATTTTTTTTTTATCACAAAAGTAAGTAGAAAAATAAAAAAGTTAATTTTTTTATACACAATTACTTTCTATAAGGGGCCCTTAGGCCATAGCCTATTCGACCTGCCTGTAAATCCGGCTCTGCATACATACATTTATATATATATATATTATATATATATATATATATATATATATATATATATATATATATATATATATATATATATATACAAATAAATAAATAAAAAAGTATATGTTAACCTTCACACACAAAAGTGAGCTAATAGGATGTGTAAATCTTCTTATAAATTTAAACAAAACAATGTCCCAAAGTATAACTGACCTAGAAATTCACAATTTAAAGTTTAAGTATAGATAGTTATACAATCAATAAAATCAAAAACTAGAACGAATGAATAAAATCTTAAATTGTTTTTATCAGTTTTATCAGTATGCCAACCTATAAAAAGCATAATCAGATAGAATATGACAATGTGATATTAGATATACTGGTGAATTAATTAAAAAAAAAAAGAAAAGAAAATCAGCTTTAAAAAATATAGTTTTTGTGAGGTAAAAAGATTTATACAATTGTAAATTTAAACAAGATTTACAAAAAAAGTTTAGCACAGTTCCTTTTGACACAACACAACTAAATTCCATAAAAAATGTTCATAATAGAGCAAATTCAAAAAAAGAGAAATGTAAAACTGTTTATAATTTTTTTTTTGTTCTAGTAAAACTTTTAAGATTTAAAACAATTTATAAGTGCAAAATTTTTATGCAAAAATTTTTTTGCATATATAGTTGCGTTGGTTTTACGTAAGGTTCTAACAGATTTTTGCGTTGGTTTTACGTAAGGTTCTAACAGATTTTTGCGTTGGTTTTACGTAAGGTTCTAACAGATTTTTGTGTTGGTTTTATGTAAGGTTCTAACAGATTTTTGCGTTAGTTTTATGCAAGGTTCTAACAGATTTTTGCGTTGGTTTTATGTAAAATTCTAACAGATTTTTTTTATATTAGAAGAATAGCAAGTAAATCCTTTTTTCTTTTTTATTAATGTCTTAAAAAAAATATTTATATAATTATTTTTTATATATTTATGTACTTTTATACATCAACCAAAAAAAAAATATATAAACAAGGAAAAAAACAATAATAATTTTAATTAAACAAAAATAAATTAAAAAATTTTTTCTAATTCTCCAAATATAAAAAATTTCAGTAGTAACCTTGTCAAACCAATGCAATGATATGCTGCAATGTAATAATACATTTTATATAATAATATTTTATATAATGCATTTATATATATATATATATATATATATATATATATACATACATACATACATACATATATACATACATACATACATACATACATACATACATACATACATACATACATACATACATATATATATATATATATATATATATATATATATATATATATATATATATATATATATATATATATATATATATATATATATATATATATATATATATATATATATATATATATATACAACTTCTCATGTCTAACTAGTTTTATTAATGATTGTGTGATTGTAATTCTTTAATAATGCATCAAGTTCCTCTTTAATACTCAAAGAATTACTTACTGACTCTGGTATCATTTCAGGTTCTTTAGTCAAATACAATTCTACTAAAAATCCATGTTTTTTGAACAACTCTACTAAAAGTTGTCCACATTTAAATGAAAAAGACACTGTAATTATTTCTTCCTCAACTTGAACAGAGCTGCAACTGTTATGTAGGTATTGTAGAAGTCTACAGATATCAGTTCAGCGTTTATGCATATGACCCATTAAATCTGTACACATTTTTTTGCTTGTTTGTATTGACAGTATCTTTAAATTTGGAAAGGATAAAATTAATAGTAATCTGGACTGTAAACAGGTTAAAACCTCAGCAACTAAGTGCTTCAATGATTGATGATGTGAATTTTTTGCAAGATCTTTCATTTTTAACTGATGTAATGCAACATTTACAAAATCTGAATTTGTCACTTCAGGAAAAGAAAAAAAATCTGATCTTGCTTAGATAGAAATTATTTCAGAAAGGTCTTACCTTAAATACTTCACTTTCCTCAAATGTCTTACGTTAAATACTTCACTTTCCTCAGATAATTCACTTTCCTCGAATGAAGAAGGTGATTCATAATCGTAATCTTATGATTCAGTATGATGATCATATGATTGAATTATACCAGGAAAAACTACAGCATTTATTTGAAGACTTTCAAAACAGATTTAATTTGTTTGCTCTTAAATAATAAAATTTAATATAAATAAGCATTTATAGTAAATTTTTAATTGATATTATTAGTGATGGTTGTCGAAATCCAGAAAATATGCTTGAAGAAACATCTCAATTTAAAATGGAACTAATAGATCTTTTTTTCTTTTTTTTAAATAATTATTTCAGGTGCCCCAATAAGTTCTTACATCTTATCACAAAGCACCACAGAAGAGCATTTAAAAAGAAGTTCATGCCTCTTTTCTTACCGATATTATTATGCCCAAAGGTGGCATTGAACCATGGATCTCTAGTTTCTAGCTAGAAGCAAGCACGCTAACCACTGGACTATGACTGCTTCAAGAAAATCAAAATATTTAAATGCTGCATAAAACACTAAATTTATTGGATTTTTGGAAGATAATTCCTGAAGTTTATCTTCAATCTAAAAGGATTATTATAAAAATCAGTTCAATATTTGTTTTAATGTATTCATGTGAATCTTTATTTTTTACTATGAAATTTGTTAAATCAAAGTATCATATTAATCTAACTAGTGAAATATCAACTATCAAATAAATATAAATATCAAATATCAGAATATCAACCACAAGCTTGGAACCAGATTTTAAGAAACTTACCAGTAACGCTCTTAAAAATTTTTTAATGTCCAATTAGTTAAGTCAGACAAATTTTCTAATGGTCTTTTACAAAACAATTGATGTTATAAATAGAATTTTTCCTTTTATGTCTGAATTTTTACTAAATAATGAAAAAGTTATTTTTACGATTATAAAAATAAAAGTAAATAAAGTAATTTTGTTTTTTTAATTTTGAAATAAAAGTAAATAAAGTAAATAAAAGTAGTAAGTAGTAAGTAAATAAAGGAAAAATAAAAGTAAATAAAGTAATTTTGTTTCTTTAATTTGAAATTAATTGAAATTCATTGAAAAAACTTGTTTTATTTTGTAGTGATTTTATTTATTTGTTTGGTATTTTGTAGTAATTTAGTATTTTATTTTATTTAGCTATTTGGTAGTTATAAACGAATTCACTTCAAATAAAAGCAAGTTGAATTGAAATAAATTAAATCAAAATTTTTTTCTTCAAAGAAACATATCTTAAGATTATTATATCTTGTATACATTTTTATAATAAAAAAATTTATGACTAATGTACCAGTGTTAGTTTTAAAAGTTTATGATCTGGAGATGGTTTCTCAATTTTTTCTGTATATGGTTTTCTAGCATGAATAAAAAAAAATCAATTGACCAAATTTACATTTAAAGAATAGTTTTTCTTTTCTTTTTTTTGTGCATACTAAAAAATTGAAATATTCCTGTAAAAACAAACTGAATTTACATTTGCCAACTTTTTTTTTGCATAGCAAATATTTATTGCAGTTCTTCGACTTATATTGGTATTTATATGCAGTTCTTCGACTTATATTGGTATTATATGCCAAAAATTTTGGCCAACGCTGATATATATACCTAAATAATAACTTTTATTAATGTAAAGTTTTAAAAAATAAAAAATATTTTTTTTTTATAGTTTACTTTTATTATCTGCATTACAATGCATATAATCAGTTGTAATACAGGACAAATAAATAAATAAATGAGGCAATCGGTTATAATACAGGATAAATAAGTAAATAAACAAGGCATAAATTTAAAAAAAGTATAAAATACAGGACAAATAAGTAAATAAACAAGGCATAAATTTCTTATAAGTATAAAAAGTTAAAATGTAAAAATATTAACTTTATAATTGTATAAAAAAAGAACTTAAAAAGTGTCGAACTATGTCTGATGAATTATGTTATGAAATAAGATTTGACAACATGCAACTTATCTTTATAGAGCTTTTTATTCTTAAAATATTTCATTCTTAAAATATTTCATTCTTAAAATATTTCATTCTTAAAATGATCTTTAGACTAAGTTTTTTTGGATCAATAAATAAAATTTATTAATCAATCATAATTATATACAAAAATTTATATAATCAACCATTTATAATTAAATCATTTGATTTACAATGTTATAAAACAAAATTTCAAATACATTTAAAATTCTAAACTAACATAAAAAATAATAATCTCTCTTTGTTAGTCCTTTTTTTAAATTTAAAGTTCATTAAATTTGAAACTGTCGATATAAGATTTTTATTTCATATTTATAAAATTATATATATAGATACATAA